AGTCTTACGTTTATTACGTAAAAATAAATTTAAATCATAAAAAATTAACTTATTGCAAGAATTAAGTGAAGATGACTTTGGTCGTAGATTAGAGTTTACTGAGGTAATGATGGATAAAATTGAAAATTATTAAAATTTCGTTAACAGAATATGTTTTTCCAATGAAGCAACTTTTACAGTGTGTGGAAGTATAAATAGACACAATTTAAGGTACTGGTGTGACATAAATTTACACTAAAGAATGAATGCGTGAAAACCGTACTCAAAGACCACAAAAATTAAATGTATGGTCAGATATAGTAGTTACTTATTCAATTGGGTCATTTTTTGTAGAAAAAAATTTAACGTCAGATAGTTGGTGTAAATGTTCGACGATATTCAGATGAGATATTTCCTGGACGATAAATTGGTAGACAAGGTAGAATCGAATGGCCTCCACGTTCACCCGATTTCAATCCTAAAGATTATTTTTATTAGGGATACTTAGGGATATTAGGGATACCTTACTTTATAAGGATCACTCAGATGAGTGGTGGGTTCAAATATCGGTCTACTAGGTGGAGAAATAAAAGACAAAGTTGATACTACTTCATCTATTTTGAAGACGTTTCGCTATCGAATTCTGATAGCATCATCAGTTCATCTAAAAATTTTTACATTATGAGTACCACACATTCATGAAGAAGATGTTAAATAGTTACTTTTAAAAAGATATGTAGTTCATGTATGTGTGGTACTTATAATGTAAAATTTTTTAGATGAACTGATGATGCTATCAGAATTCGATAGCGAAACGTCTTCAAAATAGATGAAGTAGTATCAACTTTGTCTTTTATTTCTCCACCTAGTAGACCGATATTTGAACCCACCACTCATCTGAGTGATCCTTATTATATATATATATATATATATATATATATATATATATATATATATATATATATATATATAGGAGTTTCAGTTCTCCTCATCAAGACGAAGCAGAACTAATCTGACTTGACAATGGCAAGTGTGACCTTGCCGAAACGTCGTCAAAACAATGGTTTTTCTAAAAACCAACATTACTTAACGCGGAGTCAAACCCGGAAAACAACTGAAATCAAATATATATATATATATATATATATATATATATATATATATATATATATATATATATATATATATATATATAATATATATATTAATTATTAATGTAGTGTTAATTTTTAGTTGATATTTAAAAGAAAAATTTCGTCTGCTTTATTCTTTATTCGATCTGCGTCTTCTCTGTAGGTTTTCTGTTTTAACCAAACATCGAATATAGACTTTTCTTTCTGACCACATCATAATATTCCAAAACATATTCAAAATACTCTCCCGAATTTCTTGGGTGACATGGAATGGAATTTTACACGTACATGAATTTTCCTGTATTTTTTTAGTTCGAGGTATGCAATTTGTCATCGGATTTCTCTTACCTGTGTATTCAAATCCTTTTTCTCGATTTAATTTATTTTTATTTCTCGACCATGTAGAATTATGAACTTGGTATTTTTTCGACCCCTTTCTTAAATTTAAAATATCAGCATACATATTATTTAAATGTTGCTGAGTTTTTTTATCTTCCTCCATTTACTCGTCTAATTTATTTTTATCTACAAGAACTTCGTTTTCTGGACTGTCGTTGAGTATAGCTTCTTATACATTATTTCTTAGTTTGTATTATCTTGTTCCTCATACTTTTCGGATGAATTCGCTGCTCCATACATATTTTCCCCAGCCTTAATAACCACCACAATTACTGATGAAGCTGGTACGTCAATCAATTCTATGATGATGTCTTGTTCAATTTTCTTACTTGAACTTTCCACTAAATTAATACCATGCGATAGGCCAGTCATGTCGTTGTCTTGTTGATCAAGAATATTTTTTACAGCTAAATTTTTGTTTGTGGCATCCGACTTATTACTCACATTTATTAAGTTTTGTGCAGCATCAATTTCTGTATGCAAATTGTTTATTGCAAGAAAGGAATCAACTATATTCAAAATGGCATTATCCTCAGGTTTTTCTAATTCAATGCTGTTAACAGTTGCCATGGCTACTATTTTTTCGTCTAGATGTCATAATAATAGAGATTAACTGAAAAAAAAAGTTTGTGTTTTCTTTATTGTTCACAAAAACTACAGTTCCTCTGTTGTGTTCATAAGAGGCTTGTACGCCTTTTTATGAATACAGCTGAAATTAATATTTTTTATTTTTTTTACGTTCTCTCAAAACAAAAAAAAACTGTAAATATTTAAGTATTTTCTATTAATAATAATAATAATAATAATAATAATAATAATAATAATCGCAATAACGAATGTATTGTTGATTATTAGGTAAAGTCCGTATCTCCTTGATGTAATAATACCGCCAAAAATCATGTACCTAACAGAAAATCGCGTATCCCCAATTTGTACTTTAAATCAATAAAAGTCAATCATCATTTTTACATACGCTTTGCTCACTTTGGATGAGCTATAGAGCCATGGTTTTTTGTAGGTACTACTCGAGAAGTGGGAAATAGCAGAATAATTCGCTTACTGTCGACTATCTGAAGACGTAGGGAATACAGAAATAACGTTATAACAGTCTATTGATACAAATTCATATACTTCGTTTGAAGGTTTTTGCTCCTTTCGCCGTTTATTTATATATTCGGCGTTTCAATTATATATATATATATATATATATATATATATATATAGATATATATATATATATATATATATATATATATATATATATATATATATATATATATATATACTGGAACCTCGATTATCCGTCGGGCACCGGACTAAGAGTATGACGGATAATCGAAAAGATGGGCTTCAGGATGGGCAGGTGCATTGTACAAAATGAGAATCGCCTTTGGTGGCAAATTTTTTGCTTGCAAGTATTGTCGAACGTCCGGTATAAAAACCTAAAAAACAATCCATACATTATGTAGTGCGTAGTAGTTAAGGGCAAGTCCGTTTATATTTATGCTCTTGAAACAACGTGTTTTTTTGCTTTACCAATCAATAATAAACGAAGGTGATGGTCATCACTTGCATTTGAACAAATCATTGCTGTGATTCGTTGCTTTTGCTTTTTAAATCTGGGTGCATAATTTTTCAGACAGTGCAGCGAGAATTTTCGTTGGCAATGTTTTGTAGTTTAAACCAGTTTCATCCGCATTGAACACTTGATCGCGTGTCAAACCATATTCATCGATTATAGCTTGAAACTTTCTTTCTTTATATTGATCAACGACTTCAATACTTGCAGCGCTCATTTTTTCACCTTCGATTTTCAGTTCCCATTTACCGTGGCGATTTTTAATCTTTTCCAACCAACCGCTGCTTCCTTTGAATGAAGGATCGCCATGCAATTTCAAGTTGAAAAACAACGCTGTTTCGGCAACAATTGGTCCAGATAAAGGAACACCTTCGTTTCTTTTTTGAAAGAATTACAAATACAGAGCCGTGTCGAGTGATTCATTTGTGGCTTTTTTTATTGTCTTACGATGTTTCACCTGGCCATCCAACGATTGTATTTGCAAAGCATACTTTTCAATTCCTTCAGCATTTTTCTTTAAATCATTGGTTATTGTTCTCCGAACATCATACTTTTTGCTCCATTTTACTGGCTCTAATGAACGTGTAAGGGTGTGCCAAAAATATTTTTGTGCTACATTTGCATTTAGTTTTCAAGTAGTTGAAACTGCACTAAAGTATCGTGGAGACAGTGGTGTTTATACTGCCTTTGACCATCGCAAAGGAAGATCAGCTCCTCCTTTTGTCCGAAAGACAAAACCGCAACAAGTATGTTACTGCTGCGATGATGTATGCTGTTGCTCAAATAGATAATCTTCAAATAATAGATCTAAAATATTTGGAACCAGGACATACATACTTAGAAGTGGATTCCATAGAATGTGGTCGAAAAAATAAGAAAGTGTACTCTCCCGTGAATGGGGTATTTTAATACAAATGTCAAGGCTAAAACCCTCGTCGTCCCTACATTGTTAACCATCTCACATACTCCGAATTCTATAATTTTAAGGAGTTAGCTTCTAAGATTATGGTAAATACTACTTGTCACACCAACGGAAATCAAGTGAAATGGCTGCAAATGAAATGGTTACGTTTCACAAAGACAAATCCAACAACCATTTTATTTAAGTATGATGTTAAAGTAACGACTTTTTAAAATTGAACGCAGGCGACATAGGCACACGCAGAACGAGAACACACAAACAGTCTTAAAATGTACATGATGTACATCTTGAACAAACAGTTTTTTGCCAATATCCAATACAAAAAAGCATGACCTTCTCTGTCTCTTACGCAAGAAGGCAATTCCAGAAGACTACAGAAACTTTGTAGAGACATTACCTACATCCGTAGAGGCTACAGATACTGTTCCAAGTGATTCTGGATACGAAACAGACTAAATTTTAGTTGGGTTTAACTTTTGTGAATGCATCTTTTTCAGTTAATAAAAATTTCATTTGTACTACTAGTATTATTTTAAACCTGATTTTATGATATTTTCACATTTGCAGTATGGAAATAATGATATAGGTATTGTATGTCCATACAGAGGATTACTTTTAGCTTGTTATAAATGTGATTAAAATTTAACCCTAATAGAAATAGAACTGAATAATATATAAAAAAAGGTGTAACATGAACTTAACTGCAATTTAATTACTTAGATGTACGGTTTGTCAAGGATAACGGTATTTTTCAAATTGATATTGCTGAAAACATCAATTTTGGACATACAATATTTGTCATTTTAGCCGTCGATATTACAAATTAAGTCTAGGACAAAAGAAAAATACGAGCATAAAACGATTACATTTCAGACATTCAAACTCGTTTGTATACGAGAAATATTTATTTTACACTAACTACAGAAAACAAAAGACCGTAATTTAACATTTTTCAACTGTAAAACGTAAATAACAATATTGTACTTACCTCGAAGTACGCTCTCCTCTTGATACCGGAAAAAGTCCCATATTCGCAAAGTACCATCGTCTGAACACGTAACGAATTTGTTGTCCGAAGGGCTGAAGCTAAATACAATATTCACGTAATAATCGTATTTCAAGTATATCCGAATATGCAAATTAATAAAAACATAGTATATTGATTTGTACTGTGATGTTATAATATATGAGCATAAGTTACTTCAACAATAAAGAGTCAGAGTGAAACAACAATTCAACAAAATAGTGAACAAATAAAGCACACATCTAAAAAAATTTATTTTATTAAAAATATTAAGAAATATCTTCGTTTGTTTGAAAAGTTTAAAATGTATAATTCCTAGTTGGGTGCTCTCGATATAAGATTGGCGTTTGAGTTAAGGTGAATTTAAGGTACCTACCAACTACGAGCCCTAACGACTAAATGTTCGGACATTTATTTAAAATGTTCATCTTGACAACCTCGATTATTGGATTAAAGAACAAGATCAACAATATAATATTAAACCCTATCATTCATAATAAAATATTGAAATGGCTTGAAATTCTTGAATTGCAGTATTGGCGGTAAAATAAACGAAAATATTGCATCATATCGTGGCAACTAAATGTTCGGAAATATTCGAAAATGTTCGGAATTATCTAGTTATTGTGTATAAAATAAATAATTTTGGCATTAAATCATCATAAGTCGAAAGTTGCTTAACGGTTAGTTGTAATAAACCTCTAGCGAAAACCTCTGATAAAATATTTATTCAAAAGCGGCCAGAGGTAGTGCGACACATACTAAATTTCGTCAATTGATACTGAAAAAATATTTTCAGGTTAAAAAATACGAGAAATTGCTGAAGAATTAGATCTGGCAAAAGCTATAGTTGCGGACGTACTTAAGCATTGTCGTGAGAGTGGAAGTCTCCAAACTAAAGACAAAAGTTTGGGTAGACCTAGCATTATGTCTGATAAGGATCGAGGATTCCTAGTAAAAATTTGCAAATTAGGCCGTCGCAACATTTTACGATCTAACACAGCACAATATAATGCAGAAACAGGAAAAATTTATCAAGGGAGAGCTGCAGGAAATGCATACACAACTCAGAACTCAGTTTTTATAAGGTTGAATCGTAATTTTTAATTGAATGCATAATTTTGTCATTACTCGTAATGTTTTAGGCGAAAGAATAACATCTGATTCTCTCTAACTCGAGATCACAAGGTAGTCGCATCTCGCGTCCGAATAGGACTCTGGCTGGTGTCTGGCCTGTTGACTCATTAACAGCAGATCTGTAGGCCATTGTGAAGAACGGAAGATATTGGTCCCAGTCTCGCTGATAATCGGACACCATCTTTGTCAAATACTTGCCAACTGTTCTATTCATCCGTTCTACCATACCACCATACCATCCGATTGCGGATGATAAGCCGTAGTTCTTGTTTTCTTCATACCTAGTCTATCACATATTCCTTGGAGTAAGTCGCTTTCGAAGTTCCTGCCTTGGTCACTATGGATCTCCAAAGGCACTCCAAATCGGCTGATATATACTTGGATCAACTTATCTGCAACGGTGGCGGCCTTCTGGTCTGGAAGTGCGTAAATCTCGACCCACTTAGTGAAGTAATCCATTACTACCAACATGTACTTGCCTCCATTATCACTTTCTGGAAATGGCCTAGCAATGTCCAAAGCTATTCTTTCAAGCGGGCTTCCAACATTATATTGTCTCATAGGAGCTCTCCTTTTTCGATAAGGCCCGTTAGTCGTAGCACAAATATTATTACATTTCTTACACCAGTCTTTTACATCGTCGGAACTGTTCATCCAATAAAACCGTTCCCGAATTCGCTGAAGGGTCTTTTTCACACCAAAATGCCCTCCTGATGGACTGTCGTGTAACTGACGAAGTACTTCGGCTATTCTGCTCTTTGGAATCACCAACTGTCTTCTCTTCTCTGAACCGTCATCATTTTCCAGGACTCGTTTGAGCAAGCCATCTTCCATGATAAATGAGTCCCACTGGGCCCAATACGTCTTAACTACTGAGCCTAGGTTCGATATTTCTTGCCAAGGTGGTCGACGGTTTTCCTCTTTCCATTTTCGGATTTTCTGTATAACTGGATCTCTCTCTTGTTCTTCCCTGATCTTGGTAGGCGTCCAGTCGTCGTGGACCACCGTCGTTATATGATATGAGGTGGTGGAAGGTACAATTATCGCAGCAAGGTATCAAGAAATTTTGAAAAATAGTGTTGTTTCAAGTGCTATTGATCTCTACCCGGACTTGAATTATTATTCCAGCAGGCCATACAGCTAACACAACTAAAAAGTCCTCTCACGGCCTTTACAGTCCAGACCTTAATGTTATTGATACATTGTGAAATTGCATAATGATTCCTAGAGAATCATTGCCGATTTGAAGAGTAAATAAGGTGAATTATGGGACAGTTTCGAACCTGACTTGTGTAAATCCTTAGTACTAACAATGTCAGACAGGATTACCGTGCTTGTAAAGGCGCGTGGCAATGTAACCCCATATTAAAATAGTAATTTCTTCAATTGTCCGAACATTTAGTTGTCACGATATTATGTAATATTTTCGTTTATTTTACCGCCAACACTGCAATTTAAAGTTTATAGAGACATTTCAATATGTTATTATTAATGAAAGAGTATAATTTATTGTTGATCTTGTTCTTTAATTCAAGAAACAAGGTTATGGAGATAAACGTTTTCAATAAATTTTCGTTTTTCCGAACATTTAGTTGGTAGGACTCGTATACCGAAAGTATACTATTATATCAAACGGATACAAAGCATTATAAGAATATTAAGAACAGATTATAATTGATTTGTTAATTGCATGAGCATAAGCATATATTCCGAATGTGTATTTGAACATTAAATTAAAAATGATTACAACTAAAAAGAGATGAGTAGACGACATAAGAGCAGTCGATGAGATTGACGCAGGACAGAGAAATATAGACGCAGTTGGGACACACCTAATAAGACCTCTACATTGTAACAGAAAAAGAGAATGACAAGAAATAGAAGAAATCAACATTAAAATAATCGAAGAAATTACGGTTGAAGATGATATAGATCCGGAGATGATACAGTGTTTGAGAGAAATAAGTAAAAAATAGCTACGAGAAATAGTGAAGTGAGAACAACTTACTACATAAAAAAGGTAGAGTAAATGAAGAAAGGGAAGATCGAGGAAAATATAGATATGCTAGATCATAGATATAGAAGAAAAAACAACATGAAAAAATGTTAAAAACCGGAAGGCTTGGAAGAAATAGATAGGCGAGAAATAAAAATATGTAAGTAGTAGACGGTAAGTCACTTGAGGGCACTTTGAACTTCAACCTCCATGGCTTGAATCGTACACGCATCCGCTTTGAGCATATAATTATTTTATTATTTTTTAAGGACTTACTTGGGCAGATGCTAAAGGCATTTTTAAATGGGGCTATTAGTACGTATGGTATGAAATATTAAGTAATGCTCAATGAATCTGTATTTGATTAATTGGCGGAATCGAGGAGTCATAGGAGGTTTTTAAGACAGACACGATCTGATCTCTTAGTAACAAAAATAGCTTTCACGGAGATCTGTGACTCAATTTACGAACCCTGAGTACCAATATATGTCGTATTTTTCAAAAGCAAATTGTTTTTTTGATTTCTCTTTCATTTCCAAAAATACTTCCAGTATTATTGATCTCTCTCTAGAATTTTAATATTATTCAGAACAATTTTTCACTCAGCAATTTTAAGACAAACCAAAACTGAAGTATCTGAAACTATTTTCCTTTAGCATGTCAAGTTAAATATTATAATTTACATGGGATTTCGCCACAATTGACGGTAATAAAAATTACGTTTTATATTTGTTTTTGGCGCTTCGACTTCCACTCCGGAAATCGTTTTCAAAAAAAGACGATAAATTTTTTTCAAAAAAGGACTTTTTAAAAATGATTTCCGGATTGGAAGTCGAAACGCCCAAAAGCAAATATAAAATGAAATTGTTATTACAATCAATTGTGGCTTAATCTCATATAAACATAATATTAAACAACTGTTTAATCTTAATTGTCAGAACACATACATAATATGTTGGACTCGTGAATGGTTGATAAGAACGATGTTAATTAAATGGATGACAAATCGCGAATAGGAGCTAATTGTTGTCGAATGGAAGCTAAAAGAAATCGTAATAAAACTGAATTTCTTTGACGAACATGGTCCCTTATTAGTTGTATAAACTAATTTTCATATTTGCAACACTAAGAAAACATGTACACTAGCATGGAGATTTTAATAACATTTTAACATACCATTGTCTCATACATTGGGCTTATAAGTATCCCCGAATTACACTTGAATTTGAACAGGATAAATGAACAGGATAAATAAATGAAAAATATTTATTTTTGAATGTGTAAAAGTTCTTTCTTCTTGATCGCTGTCGATTGTATGCCATCGTCGAAGCTATTGTCAGTTAAAGTAAAAGTACATGAATCTTTGATGGCCATCCTATATTATTGTGAGATGCAACTAAAACTCTTTTTAGTTGTAGTCCTCCATCGTCCATAGAGAAAAAAAGTAATACAATGCCAGTATAAAAGCTTCGCTTCAAAAAAACAGAAACACCGGAAATTACAACTGATGAACAAACCAACCAAAATAAGCACAGTGAACGTGGAGAAAACAAAAAGAAAATTAAAGAACAAAAAGGCTACAGGCGTGGACGGAATAACAAAAATAAACTATTAAAATATTGGAAAACAATGATGACATATCAATGAAGAGCCGAATATATGCAAAGTCTATATAGATGGATATATTGCATATAAACGAGCTCATTATCTATCGCTCATTATTTATCTGGAGTTTCCGACTGCTACCTGAATTTGTTAACTATGGAATTTCCAAGAAAAATATTATTTTATTAGCGTGGCAAATCGTAAGTATAAGTGTGTGCAAGCACTCCTGACCACGGCGCAGTAGACGAAATTTGGTTTAATCCCCACTTCCATGCAAAACGCATTGTACTATACACTGTATAATTCCACTTACAATAGAACCTT